ATATTAGCCACACTTAAATGCATGGGTATTTTCTCTTAAATTTCCAAAATAAGTATTTTACTAATAAAAATTTTTCAATAACATTTTGAAAATTTAAAGTTTATAAAATCAATTTAATAAAAAATAATATTATTACTGTTAATTATATATGAGTTGAGAAAAATATTATTTTGTCAATATTAGAATATATTGACTTTCAAGAAATACGAAAATTAGAAAACTTAGTAATGATAAATGCTGAAAGATTTAGTTGTAGAATCTACTTTATAAATCTTATACAATTCACATTCTAAATATAAATTGAGAGAAAATGCTTGGTTATGATAAGAAAAATCCCAAAAAAACAGTATACAAAGATTTAAAATATTACTGCGTTCATGCAACTAAAAGTTCTATTTAATAATATTTTAAAATGTGCTAAATTAATTTCCATTTTAGTAATGCTTCAAGATTGTTAAAAAAGAAAAAAACTATAAAATAGAACTCTATCAACAAATATTGGACACAAGAAGTATATTAAAATAGATTTAAATTAAGGGCTAATATAGGTTAGTTTTTAAATTAATCTAGTGTTACTCCTATAATTCTCCTAAAAGGAAACGGTTTTTTATAAAAAACTCTCTTAAACCTTGAAAAATTGAAGTCTGGGTAAACCATAATATTAGATGTATCTAAATTATATATATATTATTTTTCTGCACAAGTGTGTTAAAAAAAGGATATATTGCATTTTTACCCTAAATTTCTTTAAATCTATAATCTGAACAATACTTGATTTTGATATCCCATAGACGGATAGTGTATTTCCATCAGGAGAAAAACAGACTGATCTAACTGTATCACTATGACCATCTAATTTGGCTTTTTATTATCCTGTTTTGACATCCCATAGACGGATAGAGTTATCATAATTACCAGAAGCTAATGTATTTCCATCAGGAGAGAAACAGACCGAGTAGACATAATCAGTATGACCATATAATTATTATCCTGTGTTGACACTAAAAAAATCTAAAAACGTAAGAATTGCTGGTTTTCTAGTTCACTTACTCTTTTATACTATCATTTGATTAATTACTGTTCTTAATTTTTTAATTCCTCTTATCACAAATTTCATCTTGTTCTTTTCTATTTTTGAGTCTTTTTTAATGCTACAACTGATTAATAATTTGGAGCTTCATCAATTTTACCCCTCCCATTGTTCCTGAATGGTAACTAAAAAGGGCGAGAAAAACTGGTCACTTCGAAGGAGCCAATCCATTTATTGTATGCCCTTTAATCCAAACATTGATGATCGAACATTCTCTAATGTATGCTTATCCATAATTAAAGCTTTAGCTAAGAAATAAACCACTTTAAAATGGAATTTTGGATTAATTGCTTCTTACAAAGATCTTTCTTGCTTATATTGTAGTAACTGCTCTTCCATTATCAAACCATAATTCTCCTAGATTTAAAATTGTATCAAATTCTGGCAATTCTATGTCAATAATGATAATGTATTCATGAGATATTGTTACATTTTCTCCTGCTATTGGTAATCTACCATTTGGCCATATAGAAACGTCTGATCATTTCTTTTGTATTTTTACAAGAACGTCATAAAAATATGCAAGTCTCCCTACAGAAGATTCCAGATGGTGCAACTCAATATTGTTGTATTCTTTATTTGGCAGAGATAAAAATTTTAAAGAATCATGTAGTTCTATCTTTGAACTAGTTACCATTGTTACAAGTATTGGGATTTGGAATTTCTGAAACTTAACTTTAATTTGAAAGGAATTTGTGATTTCTGTTCCTCTTTAAACAGTATAGTTGAATCTGAATAGAAAACCAGATTCTTGAGAACTTATGTATTGAAATGATCGATAGCAATTTTTTACAATTTATATTATATTTTTATCCCAAAGAGCAATATCTCCACTCCAACATATTATTCATATTAATATTTGGTTTAGATGCAACACCAGAAGGTTTTGATTTAAATGCTAAATAGAATCCAACCATTATGCTCCACCTACTCTATTATTGAAAAATATATTCTTAGTATTTGTAATTCAGAAGGCTGCTGCTGTTGCATCTGATTGATATAATTAGCAAGATGATTTAACAACAGCTACAAGATTGAGTTCAAAAGTTTTGTACATTTCATTACCATTTTAAATGTAGATAGTGTGGCCAACAATGTTGTGGCAAATGTTATATGTAACATCCAAATGTGATAAACTTTATAATTCTATACAACGAGCATTTGAATTGTGAATGTAATTGCTTCTAATATATGAGTTTGAAACTACTCCATCATTATTGAAATTAATTGGGAATCTATTTAAATATCTTTATTGAACACTATTTACTTTTCTACATTTTCAATTTTGCTTCAGTGACTTCATTTTGTTTTCCTTAAATGTAAATATGAACTCCATGATAATTCATTTAATCACCTTAGATTCTGATAATTCTGGTCAAACATCCTACCTCCACCTTTCTTAAAAATTCAACTGCATCAAAATGTTCTAAGACTGTTTCATGAATAAAATTCAGAGTCTCATTCAAAGTCAAAGTTCTTTTATCACTAGAAATTGATACAATTTTTCTATTTTCAGCTTCTCTTTAGGCTTATTTGCTGGATGGAATGATTATTTCATCTCCAACAACCAATTTACAGTCATTAGTGGTTTTTTAGGATAATAAAGTCCATGATGGTGTTCTATTTTTACCATGAGTATCGATTTTGCATTGATTGCAACCAATCATTTTGTTACCCATATTTGGACATTATATTCCTCTTTCCTCACCTCAAATTGTAATTTTAACATATTGTTAATGTCAAACTGCTTAAGTACCAATTTTTGAAACTAATTCAAATTGAGATTACCTTTTTTTCCATAAATTTATAGTATACCTAATACTTTGCCATAAGTTAATACTACAATCTAATTTTATACTATTAATTGATTCTCATTTAGTTAATTAGAGTTTTAAGCTGACTAATATAATCTTACAAACAATTGGTCTATAAGAAATCAAATCAGATATAAATTTAATCCAAGAAAAATTTATCATTCAATCTTTGATGGTTATATATAACATTATATCCATCCAAAATTATATTAACTTTTTGTAGACTGAATAACCTAATTTCGATTAATAAATTATGGATCATTTTTAATTTTCAAAAAGATGTATATTTTATATTTTTAAAGCGGCTGTTAAATTAATTTATCATCAAAAATTTGAAGTTATCAAGCCATCTATGAATTCACTACTTAGAGATAATTAAGAGATTGAACTTGCTACTCTGCATAGTATAGCAATTGCTAAATCTTTCATCTTTTCAGAGTTCTTACTACAATGAAAAAAAAGTCTTGATTAATTGGAACTTAAATTCAACTCCTTTTTTCTAAATATTATTAGCTTCAATATTTATTTAAGATTCTATTATCGAAATAATTTCGAGCAAAGTTTGGTTTAAATTTCCTTGCGTTTATTGTTTGTCACTATTAGTAACTGATTACTTGTGTTTAGTGGACAAATAGTATTGTATTTTAAGACTATTTTTTAAATCAAAAATTCAAAATGCAATAAAAGTCTCTCAAATAATATTATTTATTTTACATATACTAAAATGATTTGGAAAAATTTATAAATAATTGGTTTTTGCCAAAAAAATTCAATTTTTCAATATTTTTAAGTCATACATTTTGATAAATTTGATTTAAAATTGACATTTTTTTTTCACTGTTAAGATTTCTTTTGCAAAAGCGTAGCTTCTAAATTATACTCAGATAAAGTGGTTTATAATTTCAGCACTTCGCTCTTCTCACCAGCATAGATTAACTTTAAACAACAAGAATTGATAAAAAATAAAACTAGAAAAAAAAAATTATTTTTAGTTTACAATATCTATCATAATTTTTTAATTAATAGGATACATTACTCTAAATAGAACATTGCATATGTCTAGAAATTAACAAACAAAAATCCAGACAGCTTTATAGACTATCAACTATTTTAATAATTATTCTCCACAAGATTCAATGCAATGATAATATATATAGAGTTCATTTAATTCTAACAATAATAAAGAATTAAAAAATCTTCTTTATGATTGTAAAACCATTAAAATGAAGAGAGTATATCGTCTTAATTTAACTTACCAGAAAAAGTATAAGATTTTTCAGAAATATTATTGATGTGATCATTGATATTCGATGCAAAATTAATCGGCAAATTATTATTGAATTTTGTAGTTTATCTTAAGGAATTGTTGCTGCTCAACATTCTCCTCCTCCTAATCTAGGAATAATGTCAAGCAAATGGTAGTTTTCTTACTACTAGATTACAACATTAACACATTCTAATAAAATTAAAAGCGAATATATAAATAACAAAGAATATAATTTTATGGATGATAAAATTAATAATTTAAAAAATAAGTCAGTTATTTACAAAATTCTCTGTTAAAGTTGATCTTAATAAAATGCATTTTAGTTATGAAGGTGTTTATTTTTCAACCAAAATCTTTAGATAATGATTTTTTTGTAGACCTTTAATGTCTTTGAATTAAGAAAAATTAAATTTATAACATAGCAGAAATTAATATAATTTTTAAATTATGATATTTTTATTATATATTCTCAATCCTTTTGTTTTCTAATTAAGAATTCTTTCGTATCTTAATTCCATGTTGCTATATATTTAGAATTATCACTGATTGTACAAATTTATCTGCCATCCCTTAGTTTTAGTGACCATTCAATATTGAATTATTTATTCTTAAAGCATCTTATTAAATTAAGATTTTATCCAGCTCTATAAAGGAGAAAATCTTAAGATTTAATTATTTATGTAGAAGGTGAGTAATTGTTCTGATTTCCAAAATCAATTCTAATTTGCTTAGATTTTTCATATTGTTATAATTATGGATGAAAATCATGTATTTACAAAATATCCTCATTAAAAGGTTAAAATATGAATGATGTACTATCTAAGAATATTAAATTGGATCCCCATTAATTAGTCATAATTGTTTAAGATCTTGCCCATGTATTTGCCTTACTTAATTGAAATATCGAAATGCATTTACTATTATAAGATGAAGAAACTAATATATTTTAAGAGTCACTAAAACAAATACTTGAGATATCTGTTTTATCTTCCAAAATAGTATATTAAAACTTCCATTCTTTATCTTTGGACCATAATTTTAAGGTTTTTCCACAGCCAGCTGCAAAATAATTTTCATCATTATTTAATGCCATGCAATTTAACATTCCATTATTTCCTCTTAATTTTTAATTAATTCTCCAATCCTTATATTGTTTAGTCCCTGACCAAATAACCATTGTTTCATCTTTACTCCCTGATAAAAATTCCTTTGATTTTTTCATAAATAACAATGAATCCACTTAGTTTTTATGTTCATGTAATACTTCCAATAATTTTAATTTTTCAGATTTCAATTCAAACACTTGTATTTTTCCATCAGAGCATCCTGCAATTAATATTAATGAATCAGGACTAAATTAGATAGAATTGATATTTAGATCTAACATTGGATCTTATTCTATAAAATCATAATTAATTGGTTTTTTATTAGAATTCATATTTGTATTCTATGATAAATCTTCCTTGATTCCACAATTAGACACTTTTAATTCTTCTTCTGTTTTCTAAAGATTTTTAATATCTAGAATAAATTAATTTTGCATTAATTAAAATTAAGAAATTAAATGATTTGAAGATTCCTTAAACTTCCATAATTTTTAATCGAATTCTTCTTTTATTTCCTTACTAACCATTTATCCTTTATTTAATTAGCTTAATGTTTTGGCAATCTCTATAATTTCTTATTCATTTAAATCAATCCATTCTTTAGATATCAACTATTGAACAATATAAACTGATTCTAAATTGGGTATATTTTTTATTTAGATTAATGCAGTTTAATGGACATCTAAAAATTTGATCATCTTTTCTTTAAAAACACTTATCAACTCAATTGAATTCTCAATCTGAGAATTTACCTATTTCTAATAAGTAATAAATTATTCATATAATCTAGATTTATTTTTCATCCAAACTTATTGAAATTCTTCAAATGATGTATATTTTGCTGTATATTCTGTAATACAATAATAACATGCTATTCTATTTGGTAAATTTGATTGTTCACTTAGATCAACCATCATTAATTGAGATTAATGCTTTTCACAAATTAGATTGTTATTAGGCAACTTAATTGTATTTTAAATCTTACAATTAGTAAGTTCTTAATTTAATCTTAATTTATAATTTTCTTCCTCTAATTCTATTTTTGCTAAGTATTATTCATTAACTTTTATAAAATAGCTAGTTGATAGTGACTAAAAGTTATTGGAAAGCATATTTTTGATTTTTTCAAAATTTATTGTGTTTGATATCAATAGTTTTTCTATTTCATCAAAATTAAAAACAGTTAAATTTTCCAAAGTTTCATAATTTGTATTTGCAATTTATTTCAAATGCTCATCAATATTGAGCATAATTTATGATATTTTATCTTAAGTTGATGTCTAAAATTTTAAAAGGTTTTCTTTAATATTCTTAAAAATAATAGAATTTCTTTCTCTTTTACTTTTTATTTCTTTAATTATTTGAATCTTTGCATTCTAAAATTATTGTTCAACATCTTCTATTAGCATAAGATTTTTATTCTAATTTAGAATGCACTTATAGCATAATTTGAGATGTTTATTGTTTGTAAATGATGTTCTAATAAAAACTGCTTTCTCATTATGTTCAGAGCATTTATTCTTCTCTAATTTATGATTGCCTTTTTACATGAATTCTTATAATATATAATTTTTCTATATTAAAGATTTTGTTACTAAATATTGATATGCTTTTCAAAAATTTTGAAATAATTTTAACGATTTATAATAATAATATATTATAATCTAAATAATTAAAATAGTAAAATGATTTTATGTGAATTAATCAGGAAAAGTAAAGGAAAAAAATTGGATTTTAAATGAGAAGAAATACACATTAATTATTCTTTCTCTCTTTCTTTATTATAATTATAAATAAAATATTAGAAATTTATAAAATAATATAAAGTAAATATATTATATATTGCATAGGCATTAACTCTAAAATCATTTCTAATAAAGCAATTATTAAAATAATGAATACAAAATATAAATATTGTTTTGATACATTTTTTAGATTAAATCTTTTATGTATATTAAATTTTCAAATTAAAATATCAAGAATCATTTAAGATCAATCAATAATATAAATTATAGAAGAAAAAAGTGCATTTTATATATTGAAATTTTTAATTATTTACAATATCATTTTTTTATCGAACTCATTACTTAAGATCTTTCAGTTTATATAGAATCAATTTTCATATTTTGATTAATTGACTGTTAATACTCGTTTTAATTTAATTCTTTTGTATCATCTTTCTCCTTTCCTATTACAACTAAACCTTGATTAGATATTTTTCCATATTCAAATTCACCTTTATAAAATGATACAATAAGTCTACCTTAATAATAGTTTCCTTATGAATAAATTTTTCTTCCAAATCCATGAGGTTTACCTCCCAAAATAGATCCCTCATAATATGAATTTTCAATCGGATTTATTATAATACCAAAACCTTATGGTATTCCATTATTCCATTATCCTAAATAAATCGATTATGTTTTTTTTAATTTATATGCTCTCTCTGAATATTCATACTATCATAATAACTTTTTGTTTTACTGATTTAAGTGGTCTGATTTGCAAAGGTTCAAGTTCTTATAGTCTTTGTTTAATTGGTGCTTTCAATTATTCTTCATATTCAACTAATTCTTCTTATGTAAGTGGATAGGCAATCTCTAAATTCGGTTCCACAGATAACTATAATATATTATATAGAATTACTGTTTTAACTTCTCCTTAATAAGACGTGATAGAAATTAAATGAGATCTTCCTCTTATTGATAGTTAAAAAGGTTATGGTAATTGATCTTCTAATGAAGCCTAATGGCATTCTTTACATTCTGTCATTCCCATACTGTCTCAAGATTAATTAATATAAGTGTTTATATCAATAGAAAATAAATCAAAATTCATGTTTTTCAATGCTTTGAACATTAATACCAAAAGTTTCACATGAATTAACACTGATTTGTGTATTAAGATTTACTTTTTCAAATAAATTATATCCATTAATTTCTCCACATTAACTAGCTTAGAGAAGGATTTATTTAGCTAATAATCTATTTTATTCATTTGATGTAATCATTTTTTCAATAAAATATTATAAATCTAATAATTTCTTCTATTATATTTTGACAATTTGACTCAGTCTCTGAATTTCACCAGATAATATTTTAACTTAAATCTAAGGGGATCCATTATTACTTTAAGAGTCTATTTTTAAAGAAGAAATAGGTGAAGACATGATTTTAATTTATTCATCAAATTTATTAATTGCTAAATGTTTTAAATTAATATTTTACGTATATTTGAATTGACTGAAGTTTTTGAAATGGATAAAACATTATGTTATTCTATTAACTCTTATTCTAATTTTGAAACTTTGGTTTTATAAAAATCCAAATCTTTTTCAAATGTTGATTAATAATCCTATAAGATTCTCAATTCATAGTTAGTTAAATGATACAATCTTTCAAGATCTTCAATTTTTTAATCTTTTTCTTTCAAAATACTTTCTAAATCCTCAATCTTTGATGACATATAGGTATTTTCAATTCTAGACTTATCATCAGATGGAGTTAAATATAATTAATATTCCATATTTGATACTTGCTCTTTTAAAGATGTTAATTAAACATTTCTATCTGTTAAATCCTACTATAATTTTTAACAATATATTTTTAAATCTTCCTTCTCTTTTTCCATTTCATAGATGAGATTTTGATTGCTTTATTTTTCTTTATCAGATTTGGATTAAAATTCTTTAAGTTTATTTATATTCTCTTTCAATAATTATTAATTTTATTCAAGTTCCATATTTGTAATTAAAAGTTATTCTTTTTCCTTAATTATCTAAGTAATTTTATATTATGTTGATTAAAACTATTCAGATTAATGATTGGCAATTTCTTAAGATTCTTACAATTATTATTATAATTGTTAAATATTAATATTTGCTACTTAAAGTTATTTGATTATTTATTCATGTTATAATAAACTTTAATTGAGTTCTGATTCTAAAGATAGATTTTTCTATTATAATTTATCTAATTAATCTTCATATAATTTCTTATCACTTTAATAGGATTAAGTAATTATTTTAAATTAGGTATCATAAGAGTTAGACTCTAATATTAATTATTCATGTTTTAATTTTAATTCATTAAGTTCTCTTTCTAATTAATTTCTGATATTATGAGTTAATTTCTTCTCTTCAGCAATTTCAATATATTTATTTTAAGCTCTATTAAAATCTTCTAATAATATTTAATATTTATCATTCTAACTTTTAATTTCACTTTTTAATACTTGTGTTTCTTAAATTAAAGAATTCTAAACTTATTCGAAATCTTATTTGACTGCAATTAGTTATTCTTTTTAATGTTCTTTTTCAGTAACCAATGCTGTAATTTATTATTTTAAAGAAATCAATTCATATTTTGCTTATTCAACCCAACAACTTAGATCAGTATAAAATTTATTTTCATTGGCTGATTTATTTCTCATCTTCTTTTTATCTAAATATTAAGAGATGAATTTTTCTAAATTGTACATCTAATTATTTATTCTTTCCTTTAATATTTCATGTTGTTAATATATTATAGCCTCTGTCTAAGTTCCAGTTGTTTGTATTTCTTCTTGATTTATAATTCTTTAAGATATTTTATGTTATTATTATTGTTTTGATAATGATATGTATGCTTAATTTAATGCAATTCTTAACTTGTCTATATCTAATTAAAGTTCTTTAAGTTCTTATTTCTATTTTTGATTTTCTTTAACTAATTCTGAATAGCCTTGAGTGATTTTTTCAGTTACTTCGAAATCATAACATTATTATAGAGTTCGTTCTTTTTTATAATTATGAAATTCTTCCTGAATATCTGAAAGTTATTTTTAGGTTTAACAATGTTAACCTTTTTCAATTAACAATTATTACTAAAATTCAAATGTTTGTTATTATAATCTTTCTATAAGTTCATTTTATTATTCTGATTTTAATACAGCTTCTTTCATAAAGGATTCAAATTATTATTGTTATTCAATTGGTTTAACATTTGAATTATCATGTTCTAATTTCATTTGTAATTCAGATAGCAACTATTTTAGATTCTCATTTTCCATTAATAAAGCTTAATATTGATCTTCTATTGAACACTTACAAGTTTCTTCTATTTTTTTTTAATTAGAATAGAGTTTGTCTTAAGTGACTTTGATTAAATTTTCAAAATTTTTCATTAATTCTTGATATTGTTAAGTATCATAGTTTAAATTAGAATCCTTTAATTTGTATGGGGAAGGACTTTATGGAATGTTATTTTTCATAATTCGTTAATTAATTTTATAATATTCTTAGTGTATATAACTGATTTAATTCTTCGATTAAAGTTAATTATTGATATTTACAAGCGTAGTAATTAATATATTGGATGTCAATTAATCAACAAAAATTTGATACTAACTTTTACACCAAATTAAATAATTTAGAATAAAGATTCTATTAGGAAGAAGCTGACAAATAAGATTTAGAGTAACTTATTTTAAGTATTGGGGAGCTTGTGATGTTTTATGATTTAAAAAAGGACCCAATAAAATAATATTTCTTAGAAAAAATGCAATTCATCCTATCTAGACCTTTTACTTTATTGAATTTGAAAGAATAATACCTTATAACAGAGAATAAAACACCTATTGGACATAGACATTAACATAATTTTTCTTTGCCAGTATTAAAATTAGAAAAACAAGCACAAGTTCAGTCAGATCTAAATAATAGTTTTGAAAAGATAAAAACATTATAGGAAGTAGAAATGTTTATAATTTTAGGAATATGAAATGCAATAAAGAGATTAGGCAGAATTAATTTAACATGATATTGACAATTAGATGAGTGTTTTAAAAAAAAAGATTATTGTGAGAAAATAGAATAGAAACAATCATAACCATGTATACCATCATTCAAATTTTATTTCAAACTCAAAACTTAGTGATACAAAAACAAGTGATGAAGAATAAACAAAAATGATCTGATTACTATGATGATTGATTATAAATTAAATGAAATTATTTTATAACATTAGTAATAAAAAAATGGAAGAATCACCAGCAACAGCTGAACCTCTAATTTAATGTAAGATATTTTTCATAGCAGTAGTAACTCTAGGTAATAATGTAGAACCAGAGAACAAAACTATTTACAATTTTATGGATATAACTAAAGTTCATAGCGGATCTGATCTAATTGAAGCTGCAAAAAAAAATAAAATGCCAATATTAAATGCATCTGTAGACACTGTGCCAAATATTTACGACCTTGAAGATAGCGAAAAACGAACAGTCTTGCATTATTTAGCATTAAATTCTAATTCATTTATATTTAATAGGCTTTTGATTAAATTTCAGTCTTAAGCAAAAGAATGGTTGTAAAAATAAGATAAATATGATCTTTAAGCCATTCATTATTTTATTTATTCAGGTAAAATTGATATGCTAGATGAAATATCTAGATATTATATTCCCAAAAATCTATTAGGAATGGCTGCAATTAAAAATGATGTTTTGACAATGATACTAATTAGAGAAAAGCTTAAGGAAGAAACTTTTAAAAATAAATATCAAGATGCTGTCACACCTTTACATTTAGCTTGCTCTACTAAAAGTGATTATGCTGCTATAGTTCTGATGAAATGGAAGCATCCAATAAATATTTAAGATGCAAATGGAAATACACCATTGCATATTGCTGCTTTGAATAATAGTTATAAATTAATAAGAAAATTAATTTAAAGAGGTGGAAGCATTAATATTAGAAATAAAAAAGATTAGTTACCAATAGATTTGGCTGAGGATTACTAAACTCTTGATGCTTTAAAATCATTTCGATTTTCTTGGAAATCTCTATTACTTTAATTAAATTTGAAACCAAGTATCAACTATTATATTTAGGAAAAAGATCATATATGTAGTCTTTAATATTTTTATTATTTTTTTCGATCACAAATTTTGGGACTATATTCTTGGTTTAAAATTCAACAAACAAAGACTAAAATACAGGAAGTTTTATTATGTTCATAATAATTGTTACATTATTTTTCATCTGTTTTTTATTGGTTTCATATTCAAATCCTGGATATGCTAATACAAAAGACGAGTATTTATTCATATAATAAAATTAGATAAAATTTGAAGTCTTTATTAAATAAATTGGAACCTTTTGAAATTTGTTACGATTGTTTTATTTAAACTCCTGATAGATCAAAGCATTGTGAATTTTGTAAAAGATGCGTTATTAAATATGATCATCATTGTCCTTGGGTTAATAATTGCGTATTATATAATTACTTTATTTTTAGGTTGGAAATGACAATTAATCAATATTTTGGTTATTTCTTTTATTCTTATTTCTTGATTTTCTTTTAATAATAATACTTGGAATTTTGGCATTGACAGATTAAAATACAATGGAAAATAATAACTTTACAATTTTAATTATACTAACTATCATTGAATTTTTGTTTATGATTCCATTATTAAATTTGATACTCACATAGATAAGAAATTATTATTCTGGTTTAACAACATATGAAAGATTAGTATTAGGAAAACCTTCTACAAAAAAAAGAGAATCCATAATTTAAAAGATGTCAATTGTTTAATAAGGATGAATCAAGAACAAATTAAGAATTGAGTTATTAAGTAATTATTCATAATTTCATATCATTTTTTTTTTACTGAATATCTATATTTAATATAATAGATAGTTTTATGATGATATTCAATAATAAAGTGATAAATTTTTATTTTTGAGATTCAAGTTTAATAAAGTATTTAAATGGAAAAAATCGATATTGAATTTTTGAGTAATTTGTTCGAAATGAATAACATTATGGAGGGAAAGAGCATAAAAAAATTAATTGAAATAGGAGGGGATCAGGGTTTGTTAACAGCATTTTAATCTAATGTTAATGTATTAATATTTGATTTATAACAGAATGGAGTTGATTCAAATGAAAATGTTTTAAGACTTAGATAATTGTATGGAGAAAATTTACCTGTTGAAAGAGAATTATCTTCTATATTTTCTATGATTATAGAGTGTTTTGGAGACACCATGTTATAAATATTATTAATAGCTGCATTAGTCTCAACTGGGATTGGTATCTATAAAGAAGGTATTGAGACTGGGTGGAGTGAAGGAGCAACAATATTCTTTGCAGTATTTTTAATAGTTTCAATTACTGTTGGAAATAATTATGTTAAAGAAAGATAATTTCAAAAATTATACCATAAATTAGATGAATCAAAGTAATAAGTAATTAGAAATTCAAAAGTATAATAAATTGATAGCAAAGAATTAGTTGTTGGAGATATTCTTTTTTTTAATATTGGTGATTTATTATAGGTAGATGGATTAATGGTATCTGGATCAGAAGTGAAAATGGATGAATCAACAGTTACAGGAGAATCAGATTCTATACGTAAATTACCATATAATGAAATAACTGAATATTTAATGATGAAATCTAGTTAATCTTAATAAATGAAAAATAGTAATTAATTAAAGAAATAGTTAAAAAATGCATCTCCATTTATGATTTCTGGAACCAAAGTAATGGATGGCACAGGAACTATGTTAGTATTAACAGTTGGATAAAATACATGTGCTGGAAAAACAAAATTATTATTAGACTAAGAAACTCCTCCAACTCCATTATAATAAAAATTGGAAGGATTAGCAGAAGATATTGGTAAATTTGGTACATTTGTTGCTATTATTACATTTTTTGCATTGTCAATACATTAATTAATTTTGGGATTTATGGGTTATAATAAAATTTTGAGTGTAGAAACATTACAATTTGTTATATAATCATTCATGATAGGAGTGACTATTATTGTAGTTGCAGTACCAGAAGGATTGCCATTAGCAGTTACTATAGCATTAGCATATTCTGTAAATAAAATGAAGGATGAAAATAACTTAGTTAAAAATTTAGCATCATGTGAAACTATGGGTGGAGCTAATACTATTTGTAGTGATAAAACAGGAACATTAACATAAAATAAAATGACTGTCACTGGATTATGGATTGAAAATGATATTTTTATGAATTAAGCTATTTATGATAAAAAGGATGCTTAAATACCAAAATAAATGTAAGAATTACTAGCTGAAAGTGTAACATTTAATTCAACTGCTTATCCTACTAAAACAGATACAGGAAACTTTATATAGACTGGAAATAAGACTGAATGTGCATTACTTGAATTAACAGATAAATTTGGATATAGTATATCTTTATACAGACCTACTGATAAAATTGTTAAAGTCTTACCTTTCAGTAGTAGAAGAAAGAAGATGGCTACTGTTATTTATTATAAAGGATTTTTAAGAGTATTTGTTAAAGGAGCATCAGAAATCATTTTGAATCAATCAACTAAATTAATTGCAAAAGGATAAGAACATTTTTTAGATGAAAATAAAAAAAAATAAATTAAATAAGATGTTATTGATAGATTTGCTTCAAGATCTTTGAGAACTATTGCAATAGCATATAAGGATACAAATTATAAAGGAACCCAACATTAATTAAAAGAATTAGCATTTAATTTAACTGAAGAGGAGTTGGAAAAAGATTTAGTTTTAATTGCAATAGCTGGAATTAAAGATCCAATAAGAAAAGATGTTCCTAATTCAATAAAAGCATGTAACAAAGCTGGAATATAAGTCAGAATGCTTACAGGAGATAATACTTTAACAGCTATTGCAATTGCTAAGGAGAGTGGAATATTATCATCAGCACAACCTAAGGAATATGAATGCATGGAAGGAAAGGATTTTAGAGAAAGTATTGGAGGACTTGTGACATCTTAAGTAGATGGTAAAAAAGTATTAAGAATTGCTAATTAAGAAATATTTAATAAAATTAGCAAATAGTTAAAAGTATTAGCCAGAGCTACTCCTGAAGATAAATTTATGTTAGTTACTGGTCTTATTGATCAAGGAAATATTGTAGCTGTAACAGGAGATGGTACTAATGATGCTCCAGCATTAAAAAAAGCAGATGTAGGATTTGCAATGGGTGAATCTGGTTCTGATGTTGCTAAAGATGCAGCTGATATTATATTAGTAGATGATAATTTTAGTAGTATTATAACAGGTAAAAATTATTCTTATTATTATTAGCAATTAAATGGGGTAGAAATATTTATGATTGTATTAGAAAATTTATCTAATTTTAATTGACTGTTAATATTGTAGCATTATTTATGGCTTTTTTAGGAGCTGTCATTCTAAATTAATCTCCTCTTAATACTATTTAAATGTTATGGGTTAATTTAATTATGGATACTTTTGCTTCTTTAGCATTGGCAACAGAACCACCTAGTGCTGCACTTTTGGATAGATAACCATATAAAAGAACCTAACCAATTGTTTCAGCATATATGTATAGAACAATATGCTGTCAAAGTCTCTATTAATTGGCTGTTCTTAATTGTATTTTATTTCTTTATCCTTCTGATGAGGTATTTAATTAATTATTATAAATTAGTTGACTAAACTCAGTATCTTTTTTTAAACTTTTGTAATTATGTAAGTTTTCAATTCAATAACTTGTAGACAGTTAGATTATCAATCACTTAATCCATTTAATAATTTATTCAATAATGGAATGTTTTGGTTAATATAATTATTAACAGTAGCAATTTAATTTGCATTGTTAGAATTTGCTGCAAGTTATGTTAAAGTGAGATAATTAACACTAATTGAACATTTGATATGTACAGGATTTGGTGTTTTTGGAATACTAGCTGGAATAATATTTAAATTAATACCTGAAGGTTGTTGGAGGAAGGTACATCTATTTAAAGAGACAGAAATAGCAGAGGAAAATATGGATGCTACATTAACAAGTTAATTGAGAAGAAAATCTTCATAAAGATTGCATTCAAAAGTAATGATCAATGTAAAAAGTGGAGAACATAAATGAGAATTAATAATGTACTTTTCTTATTACAGTAATATTGTTATGAATAATTATTATATTCTATTGCCATCTAAAAATCAATAAAATTTTGAGCAAAATAAAATATCCTAAGAATTTTAACCTTTTGTCTTTTAATTCGTCCAGACATTAAATATATTAATTAAAATTTATATATATAAATCTACTTATTGAGATGAAATTAATTGTAATAACATATTTAGAGAGTGAAACTTATTATTTATCTTGTTCAGCAATTTTAGAAAGCTTTATTATATTTGATAATTTAGAACGTTAGAGTTTATTAAATTATATGAAATCATTAATTTATATCTTATATATAAATATATTTCATATATAATAATAATAGAATGAAAATAGAGAATTCTGAAAATGATATTTACAATCACTTGTAAGATGATGCAATAAACTAAACTCAAGATAATTTAGATGATTAAGGATAATTAGAATAGAATGCTTAGAATACTTCTTGGTTTGCAAGAACTTGTGGAACAATGAAAAAAGGATCACTGAGATAATCTATAATTGCTCTTATGTGTGCTGCAATGGGTTCAGGAATGTTATCCTTTCCATGTATATTTATATTTATTTTAATATTATAGCAAATCCTGTTTAATCTGGATTAATTAATAGCATCATATTGATGATTATATGTGCATTATTGTCTAGATTTTCTATGCATATACTAATGAAGTGTGCATTCAAAAATAATTAACATTCATATGCAGAATTAGTCAAATTTGCTTTAGGTTCAAAAATGTAAAAATTTTATTCAGTGGATATGATTTGTTATACTTTTGGAGCAATTGTTTGTTATTAGATTTTGTTTATATAATTCCTTTGGTAAGTCTTATTAATATGTGGATTTGATTAATCATATTAGGATTAAGTCAGATATATCGGTGGAGCTTTATTTATGATTCTTAACTTCCCTATAAGTATGATGAAAGATTTATATTCATTAAGATACTTTACTGTTGTTTAAATAATAATTATAGCATATATTTTAGTAATAATAATCATATACTTCTTCACTGAATTTTCAAATCTCTTTGATGATAGTAAAATTGTATATTTTGATTTTAATATTGAATTAACAAGTACATTTGCATCAACATTTTTTGGTTTTATTTGTCATTAGTTAATTTTCCCAATAAGATCTGAATTAAATAGATCAAGTTTCAGAAGAATGTCCAAAATATTCAATAGAGCCATATTTTCAGAACTAATCATTTATTTAACATTAATGATCTTTGGTTATTTGACCTTATTTTAATAAACACCAAAAATTATTATTGATGGTTATGTAGGAAACATTGAGTTTACTTTTGCTTAAGCCTTTTTTGCATTTATTATGTTTTTTGCAGTTCCTATTAACTTGAATCCATCTAGATATACAATTTTGCAATTAATTGATAAAGAAAATAATTGGAATGCTTATGTAATTTGTACAGTAGTCTTATAATATTCAACTGGAATTATTGCTATGATATATCCAAATGTTAAGTAATCAATAAGTTTTATAAAAATTAGGGCAATTTTTGGTTTATTAGGAGGAATATTTGGTATGATTATGGTTATTGTATTACCATGTTTGATTTATATTAAATTGGAACTTAAAGATGGTAAAAAGTGGTTAGATTTCAATATTATGTTTACATTTTTGATAATGATTGTGGCTGGCATTTCTGGATTTACAGGAGCAATAGTAAGTTAAATTTATTCATGATTTAAATATCATAATATAATAATAAAATACAATTTTATATGCATTAGAACTTACGATATAATAATAAAGAAAATGAATTCTAAGATCTCTAATTTTTGTTAATGATTTTAATTTTAGAAATTTAAAAGTTTCCAATATGGGTTAAACATGTAGTGTAAACACTTGTTGTGCTAAAGAGGAAATATAAACTGTAAAGAATTCCAATCGTTCTATTGAAATCTCAGTGAAAAAATCAAAACATTCTTTAACTAATAAAAATACTAATCCAGGATAAGTTGAAGATGCAAATTAAAATGATATACAGATTTAATCTTAACATAGCAAGGTCTCTATAAAAGAGATTGAAAAAAATTTGAATAGTCAAACTGATAATTAAAATATACATCCTTTGGTTAAGAAAACTTTAGGGAAGCAAGAAAAAATTAAACTTCCTGTAAAGTTGCCTAATTATTATTCATTAGATGATCTTATTATAAAATGGTGCTACATATGAAGGGGAATGGTTAGATGGAAAGAGAGAGGGATATGGAAAATAATAATGGCCAGATGGTTCTGTTTATGAAGGAGAATGGAAAAATGATAAATCTTGTGGAAAAGTTGTTAAAGTTTATTTAATTTAAGGGAAGACTCGTACATGCAGATGGAGATATTTATGAAGGAGATTGGTTAGATGATTAAGCTAACGGTTTAGGATCATATACTCATGATAATGGAGCTAAGTATATTGGAGAGGTATTATGTAATAATAGGAGTTAGTGGCTTAATGATAGATAACATGGAAGAGGAATAGAGGAATGGCCAGATGGAGCAAAATATGAAGGGGATTATTAATGTGGTAAGAAACATGGTAGTGGTAAACTTGTATTTGCAGATGGATCTTATTATTAAGGTAATTCAGTTATTTCAATTTGATAAGGAGAATTTTTTTAAAATGAAATTTAAGGACATGGTACATATTAATGGTTAGATGGAAGAGTTTATATTGGAGAATGGATGAATAATAAAATGAATGGAATTGGGGAATTAAAATTGCCTGATGGAAAAATATATAAAGGAGTAAGTAATCAAGAATTTAATATTTATTTAGGAATATGATAATGATAAAAAACATGGGAAAGGAGTATTTAAATGGGAAGATGGACGTAAATATGCTGGTTGTTGGAAATAAAATAAATAACATGGAGTTGGTATTTATTTGACAAATCAGAATGTGGAAAAAATAGGTTATTGGGAAGAAGGAGTTAGAATAAAATGGTATGAAGAGAAAGAAATTAAATTATTGGAAGCTTAGGGAATATTAAATGAATTTAGAAACTTATGAAGATTCACTTATTTGAGATACAATTATTATTGATGTATCATAGTTATTTAAACCAAATATTACTTTTTATATAATAGCTTAGAATGATTAATGTCTTTATATTTTGATATTAAGGTTCTATCTAATTTTAAGGATTTCTTAATTTCTAAAAACCAAATTTAGTTATATTAAGAACTCCAAATTTTAAGGATCCGTTTTATAAAAACTTATAATATATAATTATGAAAATTTACATTTTATTGTTAGCATTGGTGGCAACATAGCAAATGACTGTTGTCTTATCATTCTTATAAACTAACTAGTATTATTATATATATAGTTAGAGAGGATGCTGTTAATGTAATTGAGAATACAAAAGAATTAAGTAATGAGGATGTTGAAGTTGAGACAACAACATTAGTGTCTTAAGATGACAATACTTCTGTTAATTAATTGTAGGATTTAGATGATGTTTAATTGAACACTGACATTAACACTACTGATGAATCATAATAAATGTTAAATCCAGATGATGAGACTCCATAAAACAATATTGAAGTAATAATTACCTCATTTACTTTAGGTTGTTTAAGAATAAGAGTAAGAAAATTATGATGATCTTTAATCATAAGATTAGGATTATTCAGAATAATTGTAAGAGGTTGAAGACAATAATAATGATTTATCAGAATAATAATAAAATAATGAATTCAATGAAGATACATAAAATGAATAAGATGCTACATATGATTAAATTGAAACATAAGATGATGTTGAACTTTAATCCTAAACTGATGAATATGCAGAAGTTCAAGATTAATAAGAAACTGATTAATATGTTGATGAAACTTAAGTTGAAGTTCAATAAGATGTTGATGTCTATGATGCTTAATAAGATGTTGAAAATACAAATGATGTTGAAATTCAATAAGTTTAAAATGAAGATGCTTATGCTGATCCTGAAACAGATTCAGTCTAATAATCTGAAGTTTAAAATGATGAAATATAATAATAAGATACTGAAGCACAAGATGTTTAGGTTGTATTTGAGAATGAATAAAACACAGAAAATTAAACTGAATAAGATGTCTAATAAGATAATTAAGAAAGTGAAAATTATATTGATGATGTACCATAAGCTTAATAAGAAGATATTCAATAAAATGATATTGAATCTATTGAATAAGAAAACAATTAATAAGATCTTTAAACATAAGAAGAAACAATTTAATTTTATGATTCACCATCTAATCAAAATCTTGTTAATTAAGAAATTAAATTGATTCCTGATGAAGAATCAAATAATGCAGAGGCATAAATTGTTGATGATCAATAAGTAGTCGTTATTGAAAATTAGCCATAAGAATTGACTGAAGAAAATAATTAGACAGAATAAGAATCTAATAATGTCTTAGTTGATGATAATAATTCAACAGAAACAGAATCTAATAATAGTTCAGATCCTAATGATATTAATTTAGATAATAATGATGCTTTAGTAAAGTAAAATATTATAAATATTAATTAATAGTGATGGAAATGATTGTGTTATCATTTATAATTAATGTTATTTCAAAGGTGAATCAATGAAAACTTGTGGAGATCTAAGCTAAATGAAGTATATTTAATTATTAATATTATTTAGAGATTTCTAATATGAAATAAGATCTTTGTAAATACCATCTGGAACAACTTTGACAATTTTTGATCATCCTAATTTCGAAGGTTAGAAACATGTATTCTCTCAAAGTGAATAATGTTTGACAGATGCTGTTTTCTTTGCTCAAATGGTCTTCAAAAAGGAATAAAAGTTCCTTGGTAACTATTTCTGATAAAGATCAAAATATTACATAAATTATGTTAACCATTCTTTAATTGTAAATGCAATAATAATAAAATTCTCATCAGTATTCAATTAAATTAAAGTGATAATTTAATTAGAAATTTAAAACAATTAATTGTTTAGTAACTTTAATTTTTTCAATTTCTCTTTAGTATTATATATATTAGAGAATAAATGAGTTTATTAATGTATTAAATCTCATATCTTTCTTCTAAATATTTGTTAAAATATTTTGAATACTACTTCTTGAAAGATTTTAAATTATCCAAAAATATATTTTGTTTTCTTATTATTTCATTACTTTCCCATTATATAAACATACACCTAATTAATTGAAACTTATATAAATCCTTTCATGTTAATTACACATGTATAAGGATTAATCTAATTGAAAATATATATATTTTTTGATCTAGTTAAGGAATTGAAATATTTAAAAAATCTAATTATCATATTATAGTTATGTGACTCTGTTATATTTATTTAGATTTGTTAGAGTAAGGTTAATATAAAAGTTTATTTGTATAGACTTTACTATTTTAAATGCTAAATTTATAGATGTAGATAGAAGAGATGTCAAAATGAAAGAAAAGGATGGAGTGTTTGGGAAATGGAAACAACTAAGGAGAATTGAAATTCTTATAAATAGCTTAGATGTTAGTTTTTATGAATTTAGTTTTATCATTATTTAGGGACATGTTGCTTGTTTTACAAGAAACGATACACTGAAAACCCCAAATTTTCACTCTGGCTTCTCTCTCTTACATTCTAAAAATTTAAAACATGATCTAATTTACATTAGCCTTTAGAGCTTTGTAACAAGGAGGTTTCTGTATTGGGGATTGTGCTCGTGATCTTTCATCTGTTTCTGATTCTTCAATGATAATTTCATCTGGTTCATATATCTCTAATTTTTATGATTAAGGTTTAGGCCCTTTTGGGGGTTCTAATAGAAGTAATTCAGCAACAACAGGTGATTCTTTTGGTCTTAAATTAAAATGATGTAGGTTCATACTTCAATTTAGGTTTTGGAGGGGGTTTATCATAAGCATCTAGATATTCTTGGTAAGTCATAGAAGAGTTTAATCTTCTTCTTAATTCAAGCGTGAGATAAGAGTCCATATAGGAAATATATATTATTGATTAAATAATAAAATAAATATACGTCTAAAAAAGAAGATTAGAAATACAAAATATTTAATGTCAAGAAAATAAGATTTAAAACCAAACTATTTGCGTACTTAAGGTGATTTGATAAGTTTTGAAAAATTATTTATAATTATCATATTTATACATGCAATACGGTAAAAAACTTGCAGAAGATTTATCAAGATCAAAGATAGAGATAATAGAAGATTTCTAAAGAGTAACTGAGTCAGTAGAGTCATTAGACAGCTTCTTGCCTTAATTTCATTGTGAAAATAGAGAATAATTAGAAGTAGAGAGGAGAGTTGTTGCATATCTGAGATCATTGGGTATATAGTTCAAGACTGACCCAGCAAAGAAAGAATAAGATTATTAGTATTTGCATTAGAATATTATAGTGAAAAGCCAAAAAAGAGTGCCATTATATTTTAATAAACTATCGGTGAATCTCCTTAAATAGGTCCAATGACAGTAATAAAATTTGGAGGTGATTAAAGTACTACATAGAGTGATTATGGAAGTTGGTTAAATCCATTTAAGGCAAGAAAATAATAATCATTTGAACTATGAGACTTATATTATTTCAATATTTAGTTATATAAATTTCGATATGGAATTAATATTTTATTTCTAATGTGATGATAGACTAAAACGTTCACTGAAAATTACTATGTTTATTGATTTTTTTATTCATTTCATAATTTTACAATT